AAACCTTAGCTCTAGAGGCACCTGCCCTGGTGAGGCCCCTTCGGAATGGGATCCTGAAGATCCTGACGGCAGGCTGGCAGCAGAGTGGGGATAAGTGGGGAGACTGGGACATGAGTCCACCCTTGGTGATGGGGGCTGTCTGGAGCTTAGCAAGTGGGAACAGGGGGAACCCCAGCCGAGGAGAGCAAGCAGCTGCAATCACAGACAAGAGACTCCTGGTGCTGGGAGTCTCTCGGTTCCTCCTCTGGAAACAAAAAGACCAAGCTTTGCTGCATAGAGAACACGAGCTCAGTAGTCAGACAGCCCTTGTACAACTCACGGTTGCACCCCTCATGCCTGGCTTCAGCTTCCTTTCCACATCTACTAGGTGGTCAGGAGAGTCATGACATATTTTTCTGTCTTTCTATGCAAAAATGCATCACGACTTTCCCGATGACTCAACAGAAAATGGAGGTAAGAATGTTGCCTATGTAATAGGACTGAGAATTCACGAAGCCATCTTTGCCAAAAGCACTCGGTACATCTAGCACACAGTAACTGGCCGCGTGACCCCTATGGTGACGGGGTAAGATGACAGCAATAACTGCCGTGGACTGGCATCTGTCCGCCCAAACCTTCTGTTGAAGATCTAACCTCCCAAGATGATGGTATTTGAAGGTGGGGCCACTGCAAGGCAATTACGTCATGAAAGTGGAGCATTCCTGAATAGGATTCTTGCCCTTATAAAAAGAGATAATGGGCTAGCCAGTGGTGTGGTGGTGAAGGCGCTAGATTCCCACATGGCCAGCTGCATGGTTTGAGTCTCAGATATGGTGGCTTGCTTGAAAATCACGTCAGACTGCCCAAAATCCTGAGAGGAGAATGGAAGAGAAGGGACTGCTGCATGGCCATTCCCCAGGGGCATAATTTCTCACTTTCCTCCTTTTCTTTGTCTCTCTCTGACAAGGACATGTGCTCTCTGGCAAATTTTTTAGAGAGAGAGAGAGATGAGAGAATCTCTTTCTCTACTTAGGACAGAATGGGCAGGCAGCCATCCGCAATCCAGGAAGAGGGCCCTCCCCAGGAACCAAATCGGTGGGCACCTAGACCTTGGACTTCGAGCTCCCAGAACTGTGAGTGAATAAACCTGTCCCAAGGCATCCAGTCTAGGTGTTTAGGCCCGAGAAGACCGAGATGAAATGATGCTGATGATGCTGGCTCTGCCCAGGGACACCACGTGAGAGCTTGCATGGCCTATTTTCCGCCATCTCTTTTACTCCAACATCCTCCACTACTCTGGAAAGGCTTCGGAAGTGCCTCGGCTTCCTCTGGTGTCTGATATCAAGCCCTCACTGAAATGTGCTCTTGCTCCAGTCCTGGTTCATGTTGCTGAAGGCCTCGCTGGAAAGAAAAACTGCCGTCTCACCCCTCCGTCTCACTCATCCCCCACGCCTAAATCACCACAGAGCCCTCCTACTGGTCGGACTTCCAAAACTACCTGATTCATCCACCCTTCTCCTTCCCCACGGCCAGCGCCTTGGCCCAGGCCCCAGCCACACTCACCTAGGTCACCGCACGCGACTGGGTCACCACCCATTCCTGACCGCCCCTCAGTGCCCCCCCACAGGTAGTCGTCACTGCGCTCAGCCCTGGTTCCAGTTACACCCTATGCACAGGGAGCTGGATCCCACAGGGCAGACTGGTTTGAATCCCAGCCTTGGAGGCTTCACAAACATGCCGAGTGCGTGTGTGCATGCCCAAATCCTGACAGGGCGGAGAAAGAGGAAAAAGGACTGCAGTGTGACCATGCTCCACCAGGGCTGTCTGTTCTCTCTCTCTCTCTCTCTCGTCTGGCAAGGATATGTACCCTCTGGCAATTTAAGCAATTAATTAATATAATTAATTAGGCAGTGCCCTGCTTAAATGTCTCGGCTAGCTCCCGATGTGTTTCGGATACTGTCCAAGCTTCTTCACATCCGGCCTGTCTCGGACCTTCTACCCGCAGCTATTTGCTCTATTCCAACCGTGCTGGCCTCCCACGGAGGCTGAGGATACGCCTAGCTCGCCTGCCCCTGTGCATTCACGTTTCCTGTGCACAACTGCATGTCGGCATGCCTGGGTCCCTCTCGGCCCTGCGGCTCCAGCTTAAACACGGCCTCAGAGAGACTCGCGGCCTGGCCCGTCCAACGGCGGCCCATGAGTCCCTTCCCTCACAGCCCTATAGCAAAAACCTCTCTGAAAGACATAGTTAATGATAACAGCACTGTGACAGGATGGCTACAAGGAGCTTGAGGGACACCGTCCTATCCCGAGTTCACTGGGATGGCAGGAGCTCCAAGCCAGCAGGAAAGGGACACACAGAACGGAGCGGGCAGAAAGTGTAGGCAAGGGGTGGGCCTGGGCTGGGCGGAGCGCATGACCTCACCTGGACAGTCACAGAAAGGGAAAGGCCTACTGGGGGCTCCCCATGGAACAAGGCTGACCACCAGCAGAACCCCACTCCTTCTCGGCCTTGCTCTCTGGAAGCCTGAAAGGTCAGTACCACACACACCCCAAAGGAGAGGGGGAGGAAGTTCTCCTTACAAGGCAGCCTGAAAAACCCAGGTTCCAAAACTGCCCTGAAACGTCTTAATAGCGGATATCACTGGCTCTTCGCAAGCGCTTTTCTAATGTGTCAAAATGGCCAGGAGTATTTTCCCCGAAGTGGACAAACTGCGCACTGTCGGGCCAACATTCTGAAATCTGCGACAGTAACCTCCCGCTGCAGCCCCTCCCGCGAACGGCAGTCAGCACCTGGCCCTGGTGAACGAACACGGGGTGGACTGAAAGTGGTCCCGTTCCGGGGTCCCAGTGAGCCAGGGCCAGTCCCGGCCCAGCC